TATGTATTTTTTTTTGAGCTAGAGGTAATTAGATACTGTTGTGGCTTTGTTGGGCCAATTTTAACATTGTGTCAATTTTTCCCTCTGATTTTGCAAATTCATAAGTGGTTTCGTAAGGAGTTTTTACACTTTAAAAACAAAATTGAGTGTATTACATGTCTTTATCCAAGGTTTTTGTTATTCTTACTTATATCCCAGTTGAAATGGGTTTGGGCTTTAATCAAGCTAAGAACGAATTACGTATGACCCATTAAAGTAAAATACAAGAGAAGAACGACTCTTCTTAATTATCATCACTTCACTATCTGAAGGACAGATCCAAAGCATCGTCTCCTTTGCTAAAATATTTATTTAGCCTTTGTGAAACAATATTTATACAAAATTTAACCCCTCATTTTATGTTTTAGCCCTCCCAACTACTTCAGCCCTGCATCCATCTTGCAAGAAAGTTCTTAGCTAAATGGTAAGGATTCAGTTTGGCGAAAGTGGTAAAATATTTGAGAAGATACTCATATTTATTGTCCGAAATTAAAACCATCAAATATAATTGCCTTCACTAAAAAAGATATCTATAGTTGGGGGGGAGCTATCAAATTCATTCTCTATCTTTTTTTTGGCCTTTTTCAAAAGTATTACCTCCTATCTTTAATGTAAGACTTGGTTAACTAATTTGAAAGGATTACAAAAATTATTAAATTACTTTAAAGTATTTATATTTATTGTTTCTCTTCCAACAAATTTTTCTTATTTATAAATTGACATATAATCTAATGATACATATAACTATTTTAAAAAGATTATATGATATATGCTATAATTAAATAATTTTAGTAATTTTTTAATTTATTCAAATTAGTCAACAACAATGTCTTTTTCAGAGATAGTAGTATCATATATCTACCAAAGACTATTTTTCTAGTATAATATCTTGCATATAAAAAGCATCTAATAGGGATCGCTCCTGCCTTCGGTAGCTTAGGGTGAGGTTACAGTACACACACACACACGTGTGTGTGTGTGTGTGTAAGAATCAAGGAATCAAGGAACCAACCATAAACATCTACTGAGATGAAAAAAAAAAGAAGCATAAACATAAATTGGGCAGCTTCAAAATCAGCGTCCCACTTCCCTACCCCACTAAATTAATTATCATTTGGTGACAAAAGAATTTTGCATGAGCAAATAACTTAATAGAAAATTCCAGATGGAGGTATCAATTCTTCTTCAGTGGTCCATCCATTATTACATAATTAAAATGATAAAATTATTGAATTAACTAATAAAAACCACATTCCTAACCTCTAAATTCAACAAAATAACGTCCTCTAAATAGTTGTTTACAATGTAATAACCACTAAGAAACTATTACAGCAGCACAATGTATATCAATATGAAACATCATATTAAAATGTCATGTACTTCCTTCAATCATACATACAAACACATAAGATACAAATGATCAAATTACATAGAATAAATAGCTGGTTAAAATTAAAGAAAAATAGTAAATATATAAAAATGTATTTTATTTCCTAAAAATACTTTTTTCTTATAAATATGACTTGGTTACTTCTAAAAACTGTATTTTGCACATGGGACGATCGAAAGGGAGAATATAAAATAATGACACTACTAATAATGCAATTAATGAGTAGTTATTAATGATTAATTACTACTCCTCCGGTCCTAAATATAAAACCCTTATATACACACTAGTATAAGGGTCTTATATTTAGGATCAAAGGAGTAGTATTAAGCTATAAAATTGTAGGTTACTAGAAAATAATAGAGAAAGAAAGGAGTACTAATTATTAAGAGGCAAACCGGTGGGCACTGATAAGGTCTTGTTGAAAAACCATCAAATTAAATTATATAATTTAAAGCCTTCATGCCAATGCCATAATAGCACGTGGTGGCGTTTGATGGCTAATCCAAGGACCACCCTCTGATATCAATTCAATTGGTAGCCGTCTGCTTCTTAATGTGTCTTGCGTGTTGTATTCCTTTCATCTTCATCGTTTAAACTTCACATGAATGGTTTTTATTTTTTTGGATAATTCTTTGTTGTATTTTTTTAACTGTAACTTGCACATCTACTGCTGGCAAAAAAAAAAAAAACTTGCACATCTACTATATCTCTACGATTAATAACACTGGTTAAAATTAGTTACGCTTTACCCGCTCTAACAATTATTTAATATTTAATACGCCATCTTTCGGCCTTTTTTTTTTAAAAATTCACAACGACAATTAAATGAGTCTGATCTAATCCATTTTACAAGATGTTTAAACATGTAATGCATTTTTTATTTTTATACTCTAATTAATTATATGTTTTTTTATCTGTTTTTTCTTCTCATTCTTTTTCACTCACTCTCCTCGTCAATGAGATGTTTTTGAAAAATAAATTATTATTTTTACATATTTGTTATCTTTAATTAATATTTCAATTTCAATGTTTAAAGAAATTCCTTGCTTCTTTATGCTGCCATATTCTTGATTAAAAAAAATATTATCAGAGCAAACAACAATTAAAAAAAAAGCATCAGATTAATTATGTAAACCAGATCAAAAGGAAACAAAGAATAATTAAGAGTATAAATATAGTTCTAGATTTCATTCTGGACATATTATTTAGAATTCAAGTAAACTTTTTTTTTTACCATCAATCATCACTGTCTTTAATCCAAGCATATTCTAAGGAAAACTTATTAAACATACATTCGATTGAATCAAAAGAAAATATAACTTCATATAAAAATTTCCACTTCATTCTCACTCCTACCAAACAACAGTATCAGGAAAAAGGTTCATCAATGCTCCAAGTATAATAACCTAAACTATAACATCTTCAGCGAAAAAACAGAGAAAAATGAAAGCAAAAGTATCAGAGAAGTCCCCGTGCGCGCGCGCGCGCGCATACGTAAATTGCCTCTTCCATCCCCAGCTGAGCTTGGAGATCAAAGTGATGGTTGAAATGGAAGACACGGGACGAACGTCGAGATCATCCATCGCTTTGTATGGGACCAATGTTTTCAAAACTCCTCTCTTACTCGAATCTATTAATGGTATAGCATAGCTCATGCGACCTCCCCATCTTGGACACGCCCTGTTCATAAACGGCTCTTACACATGTAAAGATGGCAAATTTAGGAGGTTTACAAGTTCAAAGGAATCTCCCTTCCAATAGGTTAGTTTTTTGAGATTGATCTCTCCTCTTAAACTTATGCTTATTATATTAGTGTTTTCCTTGAGAGTTAACTAATTGGAGAGGACTATTTGTGAAGGATTATCACCTGTAAGAAGACTGAGTGAAGTGTCATAGAAAAAAACCACTGGGATGTTGGCTCCTAAGGAGATGCTTTGTTAGGAATTCCACATTGAGAAATCTCATTAGTATTGTGGAGTTTATAATTTTAAGGATTCCTCCTTCTAATAAGTTAGTTTTTTAAAGTTGGGCTCTCCCCTTAAACTTATACTTATCACAGGTTTGGAGAAGGTTCCTGATGAGACTAGTGAAGCATTGGTCTTGTCTTACTTTGGATTGATCAGATAATCGTCATTGAGATTCTCCATGCTTTCGCGGAGTTTGCCTAAAGAGCCAACCATACCATTGTGCTAATGGGTAAGCGAAGCAGGTTGAATAGAAAGTCAATGAAGGCTTTTGAAGCATCGGCGAAGAGAACTCTTTCTGCTTTTGGGTAGCTTCAACCTCACCTTTGATGATGATGATGATAAATGAGTGTTAGAGTGAAAATCAAATCAACTTATATAAAAAATTTTGTCTTAATTTACGTAAAATTAATTTTTTAAAAATACATTTTAGAATATGTAAAAGAAATTTTATCTTAATTTGCATAAAGATTTTGTCTGTCACAAAGCAAATCAGTTTTTGTGTTGGTAGCAAATCAGTTTTTTCTGGGGAAAATGACATTGAGGTCCCATGGAGAACAAAATACATCAAATAGATCCCCTGAAATCTGATAATTTTTTTGAAGTCCCAAAGGGACTTAGATGTAATTTTCAGAATCTACTAATTACCGTTTTGCCCTGCCCCTGCCATCAGAAAAAAAAGACGGGAGAATGAACTTTGAGGATTTCCCGCGCAAGAAGCTTGAGGGAGAAGACATTGGGAAAGAGAGAAGGAGCCATTGATGATGAAAAATCTTCTCCATTACCATTATTGAACTCCAAAGTGCTTCCATGTGAATCTTCACAAATCTTGAGGTGTGAAACTTTCTTTTCTCTCCTCTCCTACCTTTCTTCACAGATTCTGGATTTGTTTGGGAATGAGAAATCAAAAAATTATTTTTGCCTTTGGTATTTCAAAGCTCTTGTTTGTTGTTTAGGATTCAGAAGTTAATGAATGGAAAAGCTATGTTTTTGGTTGGTGTGTGTTGTGATTTAAGTTGGGTGTGTAGAATAATAATGGGTGCTCTGTTCTTGGGTGGTTTTCCTCTATTCTGACGCTACTTTAGTGGCAAAGGAAGAAAAAGATGAAGGTTAGTGAGGGTAAAAACCCTTAGCACGAAATGGGATTGTGTTGTCAATCAGGTCGCGATTGTTGTTAATGTGTGCTGCTACACTTGTCAATATAGCTCCTTAAGTTGTCAATGACAGTTGTGTGCTTCTTGATGCAGGTTTAAGTTACTGATGGCGAGTACGTCTGGAAAACATCTATTTTGCTTGGTTCACATAGGGGGAAAGTTTATAAATGATGGAGAAGATAATATGAGATATGTGGGAGGTAGTGTAAGAACAACCAATGTAAAGGAGGGCACAAGTTATGAAGAATTGAAGGAAATTATATCATCAATTGCTGAAAAGAAAGCAACTCATTTCTTCTGAAATTCTCAGTTGTGTTTGATAAAAAAACTTTTGTGGAGTTGGTAGATGATGATGGGGTGGAACATTTGATAAAGTTCAATGAAGAAAGTGGTCATGTGTATGTCGAAGAAAATGAAAATGAGGACCACATAGAAGCAACAAGGGATAATACAATGGAGGAGCAAGATGTGTAAGTATAGTTTAACAAAACTGTTATTGTGATTTCTTAGTATGTCAGTTGTTACTGTATTGCTACCAACTTGTCAATGCATGCACCCTGACTTGTCATTTTTTGCAGGATTGATCAATCATTTGGAGGTGTCAATGAATTGTCTATGTCTCCACCTACCTTATTTGATGTGATTGGAGAGCCGCAATCAATTCCTTGTGCTGTTGAAATGATCCCAACACCTACACCACAAATGAATTCCACAAAATGGAAGGATTTGATTATTGGAGAAGGACAAATATTTCCAAATGCCACTACTCTCCGAAAAACATTATACAAGTACAGCTTATGCCAGAAGTTTTCGTACCTTTTCATTAAGAATAATCAGCAAAAGATCATTGTGAAGTGCAAGGTTGATGGTTGTCCATGGTATATGGGTGCATATTCAATGGGGGCACATCAAGATACTGAGTTTTTAACTATCAAACGTACAAAAGTGAACACATTCATCATGCACAGGACAACTTAATTGTACCTCACTCAGGAAGGTCAAATTTAGCTGCTTCAATTGTGATTGATGACTTGAGGTGCAATGTTGACAAGAGTCCTAATGAAATCAGAAAGGACTTGTATAAAGAATATGGAGTGCAATTGAACTATACTCAAGCATATAGGGTTAGGAAGAGAGCACTAATGGAATTACATGGTCGAGTAGAAGATTCTTATAAGGTAATCCCTTGGATGTGTGAGAGACTCATGGAAACTGATCCTGACACAGTTGCAAGATGGGAAGGCTCAGATAGCAACCGATTTGAGAGGCTATTCATTGCATATGGATGCTCAATTAAAGGCTTTGTGGAAGGTTGCAGACCAATTATTTATATAGATGGATGTCATTTGAGTGGTCCTTACAAAGGAACTTTATTATCAGCTTGTGCATTTGATGCAGACAATGAGTTGTTTCCTTTAGCATATGGTATTGTTAGCGAGGAAACAAATGATGAATGGACTTGGTATCTACAGAATCTGAAAGAGATAACCAGATCAGCACAAGTGACAATTGTCTCAGATCGGAGTAATGCTATTATCGGTGCTGTCAAGACAGTATTTGATGGTGATAGACATGCTTTTTGCTATCGACATGTGAAAGAAAATTATAGTGCGCAGTATGTGAAAATCAATAGAGGTGTGAGACGGACCTCAGAAAATAACAAGGAGAATGCACTTAATTTACTTGATGGAATTGCATATGCAAGGCATGATAATGAGTTTAATGTTGCAATGGGAAATTTAAGATTGTTTTGTCCTCAATTGGCACAATGGGTTGAATCTCATGGGGATGTGGATAGATGGGCGCAAAGTAAATTTCCTTTTAAGAGATGGGATAACATCACCAATAATCTTGCTGAGTCTTTTAATGCATGGATGTTGAAAGAAAGGAAGCACGCCTTGTCGGTTTTGATACAAGAGCATCAAGAGAAGTTGGCCAAGAAGATGGTTGCTAGCAAAATGGGGATGAAAAGCTGGAAAAATGGTGTAGGAACCAATATTGAATCAAAGTTGTCGGAACAAATAGCAAGAGGTGCGTATATGGAGGCAACATATTATGGTGATGACCATATTTCGGTGCAGACAATACGTGAGGGACGCATCATCTATGTTGCTGTTGATCTGATTTCTCACAGATGCACATGTTTGGCATGGCAAATGAGTGGAATACCTTGTCCACATGCTTGTGCAGCAATCAAACTAGTTCACCGTAGTGTGTATGATTATGTAGATGATTGTTACAAATTGTCCACACAGGAGAAAATATATGCAAATAGCATGAGGCCAATTGCAACACATGATTGCCCACAGCCTGATACACCTACTGTGAGTCATATGCTGACCCAAACATTCTTGCATCCACCGATAACCAAAAGGCCTCCAGGAAGGCCAAGGATTAATAGGATAGAATCTCAGTTCCAAAATAAGAAGGTTTATCATTGTGGAAGATGCAAAGAGCCTGGACACACTGCCAAGACATGCAAGAACCCAAATCCCAGCTGAGAACATATTGAAGTCAGCTATTTTTTGTATATGGATGTGAAGGAATATTTTGTAAATGGGTGTGAAGGAAATTTTTTGTAAATGGATACACACCACTGGTTAGTTTCATTATTACATGCAACCCCTATGTTTTTTTTTGGATGGGTTGTGAAATAGGTGTAGTTTCATGTATATGAAGGTGTAAATGAAAGTTGGCTATGAATTGGCATATTACATTGTACTGTCATTTTAGTTGTCATACCTGCACCCTGAGTTGTCACTAGACCTGTAATGACTTGTCAATCATTGCACTACGACTTGTCAATGAATTTGCTGATGTAAGTTGTCAACAACATGAATTCAAGTAACATAACCTTTTTTACCATGAAATGATATTTACAATCACTCTGTCATATTATATTTTGGTTGTATGGTCATATATAATCATTATTAATGAAGTGTCAAAAACTTACCTCTCCCTTGTCCCCTGTCAGTGGTGGCTCTGTGACTTGTCAATGACAACACTATGACATGTAATGGAGCACTGTTGCTTGTCAATGACAACACTGTCCCTTGTCAATGGTTTATTTGGTGACTTGTCAATGAAGCTCTGTGACTTGTCAATACAGCACTGTGACTTGTTAATGGCTTCACTGTCCCTTGTCAATGGTCGCTGTCAGGGAGCACTGTGACTTGTCAATACAGCACTGTGACTTGTTAATGGCAACACTGTCCCTTGTCAATGGAGCTCTGTGACTTGTCAATACAGCACTGTGACTTGTTAATGGCTTCACTGTCCCTTGTCAATGGTGCACTATGACTTGTCAATGGGGCACTGTGACTTGTTTGTGAGAACACTGTCCCTTGTCAATGGTCGCTGTCAAGAGAGCATTGTGACTTGTCAATAGCATTGTGACTTGTTAATGGCAACACTGTCTTGTCAATGGTTGCACTATGACTTGTCAATGGGGCACTGTGACTTGTCAATGGAGCACTGTGACTTGTTTGTGTGAACACTGTCCCTTGTCAATGGTCGCTGTCAAGAGAGCATTGTGACTTGTCAATGGAGTACCGTGACTTGTCAATGGTTGCACTATGACTTGTCAATAGGGCACCATGACTTGTCAATGGGGCACTGTGACTTGTCAATGGAGCACTGTGACTTGTTTGTGAGAACACTGTCCCTTGTCAATGGTCGCTGTCAAGAGAGCATTGTGACTTGTCAATGGAGTACCGTGACTTGTCAATGGTTGCACTATGACTTGTCAATGGGGCACTGTGACTTGTCAATGGGGCACTGTGACTTGTCAATGGAGCACTGTGACTTGTTATGAAATTCTCATATCACTTGTCATTAACTCCTGTTATATTAGTTGTTATTTTGGATAACTGACGTTGTTAATTTAATAACCAACCATAATATCTCTGCACATATAAAATAGAAATATAATTAAAAATGTAATAAAACCCTAACAAATTAGTATTACAATGTGATGACAAAGGTAATAATATTATAAACATAACCTGATCAGTTTGTTACAAAATGACCTATTTGCTAATCATCTTAACAACACATATCATGGGCTAAGAGAACAAAAAATTCATAGACTACTCTATCTCCTCTTCTTGGTCTTGTTGTAGTCCGATAGCATCGACATCACTTCACTCCCATGTTCATTACTTGGATGGGTTACCAACCACCACAAACAGCCAACCTTCAACTCTTGTAGCTCATCATTAGAGTATCGTGGCATTGTATATCCTGCATCATCCCGAACGGTGCCATCCCACTCTTGTAGCCAAGAGATAACATGAACTCCACATGAATCACTACCAAGCAAATTGAATATGTTAGCACCTTGCAATTGTTATTGTGAACAAAAACAACATAACACAATCGAACAGAACATCTACACTTACGTATCATTCTGCACATAGACTTTAGCCCATTTCACTTCGTTGTCAATTTTGTCCTCATTGACAAACAATTCTGGCTTAACAGCACGTAGCATCGAATGGAAACAGTTCATCTGGAAAAAAAACACACACGCACATAATGAACATCCAGTGACAAGGGACAGAACATCCAGTGACAACTAACAGAGCATGTAGTGACAAGGGACAGAGCATCCAGTGACAACTAACAAAGCATCTAGTGACAACTACCAGAGCATGCAATGACAACTACCACAGCATCTAGTGACAACTAACAGAGCATCCCGTGACAACTAGCACAGCATCCAATGACAACTACACAGCATGTAGTGACAAGGGACAGAGCATCCAGTGACAACTAGCATAGCATCCAGTGACAACTAACAGAGCATCTGGTGACAACTAACAGGGCATCCAGTGGCAACTAATATATCATCCAGTGACAAGTAACAGATCATTCAGTGACAACTAACAACTAATATATCATCCAGTGACAAGTAACAAATCATCCAGTGACAACGAGCACAACATCCAGTGACAACTACCAGAGCATGCAATGACAACTAGCACAGCATCCAGTGACAACTACCACAGCATGTAGTGACAAGGGACAGAGCATCCAGTGACAACTAGCATGGCATCCAGTGACAAGTAACAGATCATCCGGTGACAACTAGTACAGCATCCAGTGACAACTACCAGAGCATGTAATGACAACTATGCAGACTGCTACTAACAATTATAATAGTCATTGACAAGTATAAAAGCTGTAAATAACTACTCACAGTTTGTGTTGCCATGAACTGTTTGGGGTCGAACTGCCTTTTATTTGTCCTCTTTTTCTTCTTCTTTGCGTCATGTTGTTGCTCACCCCCTTCTTCTTTGCTTCTTCTTCCTCGGCTTGTAATCTCATGAATGTGATGCTATCAACCAACGAGTCAAGGGCGTGGAAGGTCATGGTCTTTGTCTCAAAAACATAACAAAACCAATGATCTTCAAATAGAGTAGGACCAAAAATGAAATCGCAATCCCCGATATTGTATCCAATATATTCAGGTAATATTTCTCTTTCATGGTCCTCCCATTTCCACCTTAAAGGATTCGCCACCATTTTCTGCATGAAATCTGCAGAAAATATATGGCGGTTGACTCGCCCATCTTTTTCCTTTTGATCTCCAACGAATGTCTTCGCCACCATAGTCATAAACTGAAATTGCAAATACAAACAAATTACAACTCCTTAGCATGCAATAACTCATTCTGATATTAACTATGTACGTGTGACTCACCCTGTCGTTTATCCATCTTCTACGTTGGAGACATTGCAACTCACCACGGGTTAGGAAGTATCCATACATCGATACAAAGTATCTAACACAAATGAAACAATTATGAAGTTAGTAAATTCAGTAAATTCTGTAACATAATACAAAATTGGTCACCAAAACATAATACTTACTGCTCTTGCTCCTCTTGGTTACACCTTGCTGTACACATGTCAAATAAAGCTTGCCTGTCATCAATTGTTCTCTTTTTCCCAGCCTTGCTTTTAAATTCCAGAAATGGAGACCTAAGAGCTTTCCCCTTACTTATCACCCTTGTAGATTTCCTCACATGTTCGCTCCCTTCCCCTTGGGTGGCCTCATCCACTTCTTTGTCCTCTTCATCTTCTTCTTCTCTTTTATTTTCTTCTTCATCTTCTTTGTCCTCATTTCCCTTCTCTTTTTCCTCTTCATCCTCTTCTTTTTCCTTGTCATGTGATTCTTGTCCACCCATCTCCTTTTCTGATTGAGCTTCTTGCTCTTCTTCTTCATTTCTATCATCTTGTGATTCAGATTCTTCTTCTTCATTTCTGTCATCTTCTTCCTCATCCTCTGAATCACTTCCTTTCTCAACTTTTTCCTCTTCTGCTTCAGATTCTTCTTCCTCATCTTTGTCCTCTTCACTTACATTGCCACTACCCTCCATTAGTCTTGACTGAAGGGCCATCATTTCCTCCCCCAGCATAGACACTAATCGAGTATATGTCTTTTTGATCTCCTATACAAATAAAATTCAGAACAGTAAGCAACAGTAGAAAAACAAAAACAAAAAATTAATCATTAAGCCTACAAGTCCACATACCGGGTGAGTTAAATTTTCAGGATCAAATTTGGTGGATTGCTTTGCCGGATGCAAGAGTCCTCGATTGCTTTCCTTCTCCTCCTTAACTCTTTGCTGCACTTTCTTTTCATCCCAATATGCAACAGCATGCTTTACATGTGCAGCTTTTGTTTCTCCCAGTGGAAAATTTTGTAGACAATATAACTGTATGTGACATGAATGATAAGTTAACAGCAACCATTGACAACATTCAGACCATCAAATGACAACAGAAATATACAAATTATTATAGCACTTACCATTAGGAAGTATAGACAACCTGGCACATTCTTCTTCTTCTCAGTCAACTTGCCTTTTTCCAATTGTTTCTTGTACACTCCAATTCCCTTATATAGTTCATGCAACACATAAGAGGACCAATCAAACTTATCCAATCTATCCTTTGTTGATAGTATTACCTTCAACAAATAATCACCGACACAAATACTTGCATTAGGACATAACAATGTTCCCAATGCATACATGACAAACAGCACCTCAAAATTCTCATCTTGGTTCTCCTCAGTCAACAATGATGCTATCTTCTTGTATGGAATATTGCCATACACAATCCTCCACTGCTTGAACACTTCATCTTCATTATTCACAACTACTTTAATCTCTTCTCCGTCAAATGGTAGCCCCAGAAATTCATGCACATCTTTTGCCCTCATTTTCCTTCTCTTCCCTCTTATGGAAATGTTTTTTGATGCAAGATCAAATGCAGACATAAACTCTCCACACAATTCTCTTTGAATTGTGTGGCAACAGACTTCAACCAACTTGTCAAACCCTATTTTTTTCAGCCTATTCATCAGTTCCTTCCTTTCTTTGATGTGCTTGCAAACTTGCATGAATTGTTTTGGTGCACATCTTGTATAGAAAGGAACAATATACTTCTTGGACTTGGTGGGAGGTCTTTGTGCCTTAGCCCTTTCACAATATTCCTCTCTTTGTTGTTCTGATAATTTATCCCATGCCTTTCTCACTTGTGCATTCCCTGCTTCAAGTGATTTGTACTTCTTTGAGCTTTTCTTGTAGAATTCCTCCGTAAACAAGGCATAACCGGAGAAATTACTGCTTCTTTGTGCATCCTTCCCCATCTTATCCTGCAAAACAAGACCAGTGCATTGAACTTCAATTCTTTTTAAATTCCTAGTAAACTTTTGCAGAGATGCGGAGCTTCATAGATATCAAAAAGAAAATTGATTCAAAAGCAGTACGATAAATATACAAACTAATCCATTCAGACCACAGCATTCATTTACTATGACATTTATAATCAATATATAGACTTTCTAGCAATTCTGCTCAAATCCTGAACCCCAACTCTTTTAGACCACAGCAAACTTCTCAAACTAGTTCCAGAAAGATATACCAAAAGAGGGGTTTTTCCAGGTTTCTTAGTATGTCAACAAATGAAAGGCTTAATTAGTGATAAAAAGATTCAATTTTTCACCAATAAATGAAAGGCTGCATCATGCATAATTCAGACGCAATCATCAATATGATAATAGAAATCCCAAAAAGGAAAGTAGTAACAATTACAGACCAAACAATCTTGACAAATACTTTGAACTCCAAACAAGGCACATCAATTATTCAGCCTCAAATCTGATTCTTCCATATTATCATATTCTAGTTATTTACCATTTACGCATTTCATAGCTCATCTCATCATGTATCATTCTTCTTACAAGCCTTCTTGGAAGTGCTTTTAGAAGGCTAATGCCTCATCATGTATCATTGTTTTAAACATGCTCCAATACGCATACCATCTTATGGTCAAGAGGGGAAAAAAAACATTGGCCAAGCATAATCAAAAGCATCCCGCCGCATTTGATGCAAATATTCAGCAATGATCAAACACAACAACAAACTGCCAAGACATGCTTTTCTGATTCATACGCTTTTACCTTCTTCAGTGTCGACAATGCCTCTGTCTGCGAAAACAAATTGTGAGAATAGAAGCTTTGCTTCAGACGCCGATCAACGGAGCTACCAGGACGACTCCTCTTCGCTTGAAACGCAAATGACCGCAGCCACAACGACGACCTTCACTTTGCTTTTGATGTCGATCAACGGAGCCACCACAACGAGCTCGACTTTGCTTCAAATGCAGATGAACAGAGCCACAACGACGACCTCCACTTCGCTTCAAACGCCGATCAATAGAGCCACTAGGACGAGCTCCACTTCGCTTCAAACACTAGGACGACCTCCACTTTGCTTCAAACACTGATGAACGGAGACGCCAACACTTCGCTCCGCTTTACTTCACTTCGCTCCACCAAAACAGAGCCACCGTGACAGGCTTTCAAGGACTTCAGTCACGATTTTCGGTGGGTTGTGAGTAGATTTGAAGAAGCACGGTGGGTTGTAGCCAGATTCTCAGCACGAACGATTTCGAACAGGATGAAGGCGCCAGACGGTTTCTTCGGTCGAACAACAAACAGGGTTTCAAATTTTCAATCTCAGCAATTTCGAATGGGAAATCATAGTAAGGGCAAATAAGTCATTTGAAGATTCTGAAAATTGCATCTGAGTCCCTTTGGGACTTCAAAAAAATTATCAGATTTCAGGGGACCTATTTGATGTATTTTGTTCTCCATGGGACCTCAATGTCATTTTCCCTTTTTTCTGTGCTGTGTAATACAGAGGCAGTCCAAAGAGGATGATAAGTGTGTGCATGTATAGTCAAGAGATTTTAACTTAAAGAAAATGTAGAAAATAGTGATTAAAAATAGATTATTGTAGATTTGGATTTTGAATTCGATTGGAAATAGAGACAGAGTTGCAGTCGTGAGGCCTGAGCGCAGTGAGATAGGTAAATGATGAAGCCAGATAATTTCAACTAATCAGTTGAATTGTTGAAGGCAGTTTCCTGGCATAGCCCATAAGTATCGGTTGATATGAAACATTAAAAATAAGGGATATGTTTTGATATGGGAATTGAGAAAATAATATTTAGTATGAGAGATTGCTTATTACATGGGATTATATAAACCCATATATATGGGATTAAAGAATACCATAAGTAGAAATGGATTATATAATTTTTATTATTCATTTTCAATGTTTTATATCAAACAGGACCATAGAGATATGGGAATAATGGCATTGGACGGCAAGACAAGAAAATCAATTTATACATAAATTAAAATAGTTATAATAAGTCCAAATTTTGGAAAAATGAAAAACATATACACAAACACATCCGTGTGTGTGTGGACGGATTTCCTTTTCCCTTTTCTTTTGCCATATATATATATATATATATATATATATATATATATTGTATTCTGTATTAACTTCGGATGGAAAATCTGGAAGTTTGAAACTTTATGGGAGCAATTGTATCGATGATCAAATACCGTAGAGTATGTATTAGTCTGCTTCATATCATAAAGAGAAAATGAGACAGCAATAGTTTAATCTAGACGCTTAAGATTTCAAGATCCAAGGGATTTCAATATCTGCTGGTCAAAAAAAAGAAGAAGAAGGGAATTTCAAGATCCAAGGAAATAACTAGTGCCTGATTGGGTATTTTGTAAATGTAGGTAAATAACTAAAATGCTCTTGTATGAAAAAGTTTATTAACAAGTTGTAAATCAACAATGATAAGTGTTAAACAATAAATGAAAAGAAATGTACCGGCAATGACAAACTATGTATTAAGAAATTTTGAACTAGTA